TTCCCTTCCCTTCCCTTCCCTTCCCTTCCCTTCCCTTCCCTTCCCGAGGAACAAATGCTTACATCGATAAGACACTTACATAAGTAAGTGTTACTGTTTTTAGATCTGAAGACGATAACGAAATGTTGCTATTTAGACGAGTCGGTGCTAAACCGATGGCAGCGCGTTTGGTTCTAATTCTGGCTATTTCCATCGCAGTGACAATTTATACCAAATGACATCACAGCTGGAATGCATGACGTGGAACCAGATGAACTTGGGATCCACGCTGAAGGGGTAAGGCGCTGCACTCTCGTCTAACCTTTCGCCCGGACCGGTCGCGTTAGGCAGCCGACGTCCCGTTTGATGTTACGGCCGGACTCCGGTGCCCGGCACGAGCAGCGGCCGCAGGCTGCCGGCACCCCTCGAGCCGAGCTCCCCGGGGCCGCCCTCCGCCCTCCCGAGGGGCCGCCCCGGCCGCCCCTTCCTACCGCCCCTCTTCCCTTTCCCTCCCTTCGCCGGGCCCTGCGTCCTGTGTCCCGGCCCGCCGCCTCCCGGCTTCCTTCCTCCCGGCCATTGTCGCCCTCCCACCTGCGGGGAAGAGGCTCCGGCCCGCCTCCCCCGCGGGGCTTCCTGCCGCCGGCCGAGCAGGAAGGCCCCAAGGCGCCGCGGGGCCCCGCGGGGCGGCACAACTCTGCGGTCCGTGCCCGGTGCCCCGGCGGCGCTCCCGTGGGCCGGCCGTATCCCCAGGGAGCTTCGGGCGGGGGGAGGGAAGGGGGGGGGGGGGGGGCCCTCCGGCCGTGAGCGAAAGAGCCGCCTTTGGATCCTAGTCGAGGCAGAGCCAAAGGCTGCCTGCTGCGCCCCGAGTAGCGGAAACTTCCCTCCTGAAGGTTGGTATCGCCGACGTGCTTGGAGACGTTCCCGGTGCCTAAGCGCGTGCGGGTCGTCTCGCTTGAGCAGCGAGGGGAATCTAGAAAATACCACGTACATCTGTGCTTTCACGTAGTTGTCCACGAGTGCTGAAGCCTTGGTTGTACTGGCTTACTCCATACAGAGCAGTGCTGCAGCATGTAGGAAACAACATCCTGGAGCTGCTGCTGGCTCACTCACAAAGGGTGCTGGAAGGCTGCGGGGACAGATAATAGCATGGTAACCCGTGTGTATTGGAGTGACCTGAGCTGAGGCTGAGGGGATCTGCCAAGGACATCTCTTGTCTTTAAGAAGATCCCCAGATTGTGCACAGTTCAGTGCCTTTGCTGCCGATTCTTTCTTCTTAAAGCTTATTTCCTACATTTATTTTCCGTGACTCTTAGTGATTTCCTCTTTAATCTGAGCACTTCAAAGATCAGTCATTGCAATATTAGACGCTGTTTTGTCTCTTCTGAAGAAAATATCCTGCAAGATGGAGTAACGCATCAACCTTGACTGAGGTCCAAGTTATTAAAGCAAGGAAGAGGTTATTCTTTGGGGAACTCAGCAAAGAAAAAAAAAAAAAAGACACAATAGAAATATTGAAGGAGTACTGAGCAAAATAAATGGCTTTTTACTTGTCTGGGAGTCAGATTGTTAGCAGTGTAAAGTATGTGACCTAGAATGCATGAAAGAGGGAAAGGAAAAGGAAAGGAAAAGGAAAGGAAAAGGAAAGGAAAGGGAAAGGGAAGGAAAAGGGAAGGAAAAGGGAAGGAAAAGGGAAGGAAAAGGGAAGGGAAGGAAAAAATAAAAGAAAAGGAAATAAGAGAAGAGAAAAGAAAAGGAGAAATCATGATGAATGATCTATGGTGAAACAAAGCTGAAAGTTTTGGTGTAGGCCAAGGTTGTAGAATCTGTGGAAAATCAGTGCTAGACATAGCCTCATCTCTGGTAATATGAGCCAAAATAGTTATCTGTCTTTTCTGGCCGAGAGTTACAATACACAGCACCTCCAAGCTCAGTTGCCATGAACATAAGGTATTCTTCCCAAGATTTACATCTCCAAAATATATGAACTGTTCATAAGCGATTCCCAGGCGCTTAGTACTTCAGATGCTTTTCTCAATCTTGTAATTGAAGAATTTTGGAATCAGTCTTTCTGTTGAAATACAGGGCTTCTAGATTCTGTCCAATGATGACAGTCCTTGTTTAGCTCCTTGCCTTGGGTTCTTCCCAGCACTTCTTCCTGGCTCAGCTAAGGCTTGTGTGTGTTGTAATCAGGAAGAAAACATTACCAGTCAGTTCTGCAAGTAGTTAGAGAGTTCTGTGATCATCTGAAACTCAGGTATACGTGACAGTAGACTAGTTCAGTAGGTTGTTTTCAGGGTTCAGGGTGAGTTTATTAATACCTGGAGTGAAGTGGTTGCCATGTAGTTTATGCAGAGATAGTTAGCAGCTTCTGTCCTTAACTCATGAAGCAGTTTTTCTGGAAGCATTCTGGTTTCAGCTGTTTGCATTTCCTGCTATTTTCTGATCAATCAGCTGTGAAATCTCACTTCAAATTAAAAGTTTGCAATTTGGCCATGAATGCTGTCAGGTGGTCAAAGCTGTGTCCGTTCCACTCATCATGACAGTTGTTCCTGCTGAGCTGTGAGGACAGGAAGGTTCTTCATTTCTGTGTGTTCTAGTCTCTGGTGCCTTCAGTGTGTTAAGGAATGGCAGAAGGCACGGCCTGATGGAGGGGATGGAGCAGAGTGCCATCCTGGTACTGCTAACTGGTGGAGAGAGAAACACGAGGTGAACAGAGGAGTTGTCTTCTGACAGCACAGTGATGTGAAAGGGTGGCAAGTGAAAGGAAGAGATGCACGCAGGGAAATGGGCAGAAATGTTGCGGTCAGGCTGCTCCAGAATACGGAGTTGGGTCCTGAGTGTTAAATTCTAGACATTTCTGCCTGTTGGTAAGCCAAAATGAGGCCTGGTGGCCCTGAATAAGCATCTATTCAAGGAGCTGTTCCTTGAGAAGATGGCAACCCCCTGCTGCTGCTGTATAGTCCAAGTGACTCGAATTTTAGGTTTGGAATGCCATAGGGTTGAGTTCAAGTTGTGCTTGTAAATCATGTGAAGTCCTCAAGTGAGGGAAGAAGAGTCCACATGGGCTAACTTGTGAGCTAACATTTATTTTTTCCCATCCAGAGACTCCTCTGCCGTTCTTGGTCTCTGAGCAGGAGAGAGGGTTGTCGTCTTCTCTGCAGGAGTTGCCACATAAATAGGCAACTTGAGGGATCTGAAGGGAAAGCTTCAAGGTTAATGCAGTGAGCATCACTGTTTGCTGATGGTATTCTGTGGCACTTGGTTGGGAGGCTGGGACCTGGTTGATACTGCTGCAAGAAAGCTGTGGGTCCTCAGATCCAAGATGTCTCAGAGTGGATGTCATAAATCTGCAGACACTTTTTCCATCAGCTTCTGCCCTTGTATTACTTTTTTATTTGTACAACGTGGAAAATCCTATTGCCCTTCATAATATCATTGCAAAGGCAGCCCTCACAACTTTAAAATCCTCTGATATTGTGACATGTTCTGTACAAAAGGGACATAGAAATAATTTATACCGAGCAGGAAATGATATGGCGTGATAGGCAACGATAGGCACATACCCAATGACAAGGCTTTGTAGAAATATTGCATGGTTTTATCTTCAGCTGCTTGAATGAGAGCTGTAAGCCATGTTTCTGACATTAACCTGAAGTCATATATAAAGCCAGGCAAATGCAGTGGCTTTTTTTTAACCTTTAGCTTCTGCTTGTGTTTTAAATGATCACTGTGTTTAAAGGACACTTGTACACATTCTGCTTGCTCATGTCCACTGGAAAGAAAATCAGTGATGATCTTTAAAACTGCATCTAAAACAAGACAGGGAAAACTTATTTTGTCTAGGAGTGAATTGTACAGGTTTTTCTGTTTCCTATAATGGTATTATTAGTAAAATATGGAGGTGTAAAACTTCCTGCTCAGGGTCAGTTCTGCAGTCAACATTAATTTGAGATGGACAGTGACCCATTGTCTGTGGTACTCCGTTTTCCCTTCCCCCTGATAGCTGAGGGTCTCATTTTGAAGTGAAGTGTTGGGTGAAATCCTGATTCTACTGCAGTCAAAGTAAAAAAAAACCAACCCTGAACTGTTGAAGTCAATGAGAATAGGGTGCCCTGAAGTCCAGTGCCTTCCTCTCCAGCTGGTTTTCTCATTGAAGATGGCAGAATGGCTGCAGCATAGTGAAACAACATTTTTGTGATGCTCATTGCCTTGGAAAGTAAGATAAAAATGCAGCTTTACAGTCCGCACTGCGTGATGGTGTTAGACACAAAGCAGGCAGACACATGATCTTCTGTACAGCTAATCAGAATCTTTTTGCTGTCTCCCTACGTATTTTTCCCAGGGTGTTAGGATGGTAAATATTTTAGCAGAGGGAATTAACTCTACTTCTCTTCCTTTATGTTCTGTTATCAACGGGACTAGCCCACACCCTCACTTCGCCTCATTTTTGGCTCTGTTTCTAAACCCTAAAATTCCTGTTCTTGCATTGAAACACAATTAAATCGAGGCTTAATGTGGTGCCTGTTTTATGTAATCTTGCTTTCTGGCTTTTTTTATTCTTCCAAGTCTGAATCTCATGAATCAATTTGTATTCGTGTTTTCATCTGAAATTTTCTAACTCTTTTCAGTGTGCCCTAAAGCTTCCCTTTTTTGGTTCATGAAATAATAATAAGAAGCTTAACTCTACAGATTAAGCTGTAACTGGTTTATACATTAGACAGACAATTTCAGTTTAACAAAGTAAAAATGGTGTGAGAGAGAAATTGCAGCTTGATTATTTTTTTTTAAATATTCAGATTAGAATGTCATCTTTTATGAGGTTTTTTTATAACCACTTAGATTGATATAACTCTCTAAAGCTGCTCTGTTTTTCATCACACATTCTCATCAGTAAAACCTTCATTTTTATTAATCTTTGTACGATGTGTACAACTTTGAGATTAATCATTTAAAAGAGCTACTCTCCGGGTGCTGGGGATGCGCTGGGCTAAGGGGAAATGCAGGCCCTTCTAAGGACTCTGCAACACTGTTGCTTGCTTAGCATTTCGCCTTGCAAGTATCAGTCTTTGTTGCCCAGTCATCTGGAGTTGCATTGTGTGCATATGTTTCCAGGTCTGTTTCTGGCTGCCTAGGACCAGAGGACAAAATATTGAGTTGTTGTTTCACCAGCTAACGTGATGAATTGCAAATATTCGTAGTCCAGTTCTGCCCATGTCCTGTTCCCATTGAAGTTAAAGGGAATTGTGTATTTACAAGCAGAGGCAGAAACAAACTGTGAAGCCAAGTCCTTCAGTCTTTACTCAAACAGAAATTCCTGCTAGATCCTAACAGGCCAGTTTGGCTGCATCCAGCCTTACTTAGCTCTTGAGTCCTTTTAGGACTTGTGGAGGGACTGGTCTAGTGTTTCTCCCAAATACAGCTAAGCCTTACTAGGCTTTTTTTCCTTCTCCTTCCACTGCCCGTGCCCTGGTTACCCCCCAGCCTCAGCTGAATTTCTCCTGGGGCTGCTCAGCCCCCGGAGCTTTGGCCATGCTACCAGCTAGCTGTGCTCGGGGGCACAACCCTGGGTGTGGGGGGCATTGCCTGAGCAGCCCACCTGCGGGAGGGAACGTGTGGGCCTGCTGGAGAAGCCTCTTTCTCTTGAGGTGTCAATGTTTACCTGCCCTGAACTCTCTCTGCCCATCTGAACAGCATGGCATCATCTCTGACGTGCCATCTTTTTAATTCACAGTGCAGATGCTGTTAGAGGATCTGAGATGTACAGTGCAGCCATCGTAGTGCTTTGCTGAAGGTGCGGAATGTTACCTGGTCTGGAGAGTGCACTGGGACAATTTTTTGCTATTACTTGTATAGATCTCGTGACCTATGTGCATGAAGTATTTTCTGTTTGTTTAAACACGGAATGCCTGACACGAAAAGTTAAAAGCTGAGGGATCTCCTACCCTCTGAAGATTCTCATTTACTCGATGTACTGGAGACATATATCCATCAGTTACTTGCATCGTTCGCATGCAATCATTATCTTTTGTAGGCAGTAGACATTTGAGTTCCAGCAGTGTATTCAGGAGATTTATGTTTGCTGCTGGAGCTTTTATTTTAGCGTATAAGCTACAAGCATTATAAAGCAAGCCTGCTGTGTGAAGCATAGCATGTGTTTTGTGGCATACATCATGGGTACACAGAGCCAAAAAATCTTATTTCACAGTAAGGTTACTACTGATGGAAGGTGAAGTTCAAGAAAGCAGTAGGGGGGGCTGGTTTTGAAACCCCCCCTTCAGCATTCACGTTTCTCCATTCGTCAGGAGGAGCAGTCACCTGTTAATTTCTATCTCCACAAAGAACGGATGATTCCATAGTGAATGAATATCACCTTAAGCACAAAATCTCACTGTTTTGCAGGTATCATCTTATGACCAACCAGCCAGCACTGATGAGATGGGAACCGTGATTCCTGCTTGCTAGAACATTTCTCAAAGAGAGCTGTTTAAATAGATGCCCCTTCACCTCTTAGTGTTCCATGTGTCAAGAAGCTCTGAAAAGTTTTTATCTTCTAAGCGTAGCAGTTTTGTGTAAAGCTATAATGAAGTATAATTAGAAATAATGGGGGGAAATACAGAAAAGGCTGAATGTTGAGGAAGCCATCCCAAACATGCAATGACAACTGAGGTGGAGAACTATGAGTGACTCTTGAGGGCACTGGCAGGCTCTCTGTTCTGTTTCTTATTCTTGGGAGGAGTTACTTCAGAACCAAATGCTTTTTGCAGAAGCATTCAACACTGGAAGTTGGAAAATGTGAATTTGGAGGGGAAGTTAGGTTGTGTTTGGTGCCATTTTACTGTATGTTACTGTTTCTCCTTTAAAGTTTCAGCCCTGCAAATTCTTATCTGAGTTGGTGTCTCAGTTGGTAGCACAGGAATGGAGTGGTAACACACACAGCTACTCGGGGAAACTAGAGCTGGAGTTCATATTTAGCCTTTATTTGTTGATACGTTACAGATCAGAGATGGTTTCAACTGCAGGAATTCCTCCTTACTGATATGCAATGTCATCAAATTTCTGTGTTAATTTGTAATTAACATGAGTATCATGATGGGCTTGGTTCCTTTCAACTTCTTTTTTATCAACTATGGGTTTTGCTGCTTTTTGAAAGGGTGGATAAAGCAGGACAAGGGGAAATGGTTTGAAGTTGAGGGAGAGGAGATTGAGGTTGGATGTCAGAGGGAAGTTCTGTACTGTGAGAGCGGTGAGGTGCTGGAACAGCTGCCCAGAGAGGCTGTGGATGCCCCGTCCATCCCTGGATGTGTTCAAGGCCAGGTTGGATGGGGCCCTGGGCAGCCTGGGCTGCTGTGAAATGTGGAGGTTGGTGGCCCTGCGTGTGGCAGGGGGTTGGAGCTTTGTGATCCTTGAGGTCCCTTCCAACCCAACCATTCTGTGATTCTGTAAATGGAGAGGAGAATTCAGTGCTGGTGGGAAATGCAAGTTGTGCAAATGTTATTTGTATTATGGAACAAAAGGCCACATCTGGACCCTGAGCAGAGAGGAGAACCTGTTTAGTTAGAAATGGTATGTGTCTAGAGAAGTGTTTAATGCATCTAAATCAGCTCACAGTATATTCCTTTCTCTTATTATTAAAGGTAATATTGCAGATCAAAGATACTTCATCGCCAGCACCCAAAGGCTTATTTCATTACATCACCTGGTTGGCACCTAAAATTGAAACAAACAGAATGTGCTTTCCTAGAAAGTGCAGCCTTTGTTTTGAGCAGCCAGGTGAAGCCAGGATTTGAATCTAGTATTTGAAGCAGCACAGGACTTGAACTAGAGGAACACATGTGCCAGGTGGCGGCCTGCAGGCCGCTAAGTGGAGGAATACCGAGGAATGTGACCCAGTGCTGGAGTAACAGCAGTTCACAAGTAGTGCTCCCTTCCTCTTTAGCAAAGTTCACAAACTGTTGAAACATCTCCCGCATTCCAGTTCCACTGGCTGTTCTGCAAATCACTTAAGAGGTTTAAAACTTCCTTGTAATTCTACTCTGCACATGAACTTTGAGTGAAGAGAAAGGAAGGCACAGTGAAACGAGAGCCTGGGCCTCAGGGACCCCTTAAAATTGCTATTGCAAGCATTTGGCAAAGACTGGGATAACATCCTATGTATCCATCTTTGTCCCTAGCTCTGTGCCCTTGGGCTTTGTTCTGGGCTTTCTAATTTCTAGTGCAGTGTGAAATATGAACATTTACTGTTGCTGGTGTCCATTAATACATGTAGCAATGTCCACACTAATCTAACATACTCTTTTAAAGTATATTTATATTATTTCAGCATTAAGAAAGCCACGAGCAGGGAAAGAAAAAAAACACCAACCTGCAATATTCCTAATGTTCTAGACAGAAGAGTGTAAGATTTTGAAAAATCAACATAAATAGATAAATATGTGGCTGATTCACCCTGAAAACACAGCATAAGTTATTTTTTAAATTGTCATGTTGCTGCATAAGGAATCCCAACAATGTAGGCTTTTTTTTTTTTTTTTTAAATAAAGGGTTAATTTGTAATGCATCCTGCAAGCTGATACGTGGGATAAATAGTTTGGACACTGATTTGTAATCTCTGTTTATGAGTACATGACTGCTGTTCTTATAAATGTCATCACTTGCTTGGTAGTATCTGGTAATATCTGAGTCATGAAGTGCTGACAAAAATCCACTGCACTTAATGTGAAACTTGAAGCATTTTGCTCATTCCAAAAGATATTAGCAATAGTCAGCCCCACATTTAGCTGATAAATAATGTGTACATGTGCACATGACACAGTTATGCTGCTATGTGGATTTTTCCCCCTTACCTAGAATCTTTGTGGAAGCACATCAGAGTTCAAATCATGAAGTGTTTTTTCTTTTTTCTCCGTCTTTTTTTTCTTCTTCTTTTTTTCTGGACAGTCTTAAATAATGCTGACAGTTGTGTGCATGGAGTCTGTGCACCATGCTGTAAGGGAGCAGGTCCACGTGAAGGTGGAGCAGGCTTCCCTCGGCGAATTCCTCTTGAGCCTGGATATCCTGCCTTTGAAAGCAAACTCTACATATGTTAGCACCAAGTTAAGAAATTAAACCTCTCACATGGAGCAAAGTACTGAAAAATATTTCATTTCTCCATTATTCCTTTCTTTATTTGCAGCCATACGACAGGATATGAAAATGAGAACCACAGCGCTCCCATGTTATACAGCTGTGGGGCCCAATACAGAATACACACCCATGGAGTTTTTAGAGGCATACAAGTGAGTATAGTAGGGCATTATTCACAGGGAAGTCACACTGCTGCCTGTTTGTAATGTTTGTTTACTACCTTACTAGTATTTATGAATTCAGCTTTGATTTGAGTTTCCCTGTGGCACTGAGAAATGGTTGACATTAAGTGTTGTGACTTCACTGAAAACACTGAAGTAAAATGTAAGATTTCTTTCTTTCATTTCGGATTATTTCTAAAAGATACTTGCGAGGCAGTATTTCTTACCAGCTGCTCCAGATGGTCCAAAATAGATTCAGCTTGCAACTTCTAGCTCCAGCCACTTTGCCATGTGGAGCTTGTGCTACAACGGACTAAGTCTGATAACTGTAAGAAGGTGCTAGATGACATTTTGCTTTTAAGCATTCCAAAGCTTTACTAATTCAAACACATTTCCTTAGAGCAAAAATAATATAAGAAGCGATTGTTTCCTAATGACTAGAGAAAATATTTGGAAGGAATTTTTCATTCATGGAAGTGAATTTCCCCTTTTTCTGGCACAGTTATATCATCTATAAACACCACTGTAAAAGATACAGCTTCTTAAAACTGATGGAAAAGTCGTCACGTAACATTTGCCTCCTATGTGTTGCTCTTTCTGTGTAATCAGCATAGATGGAAGTTTTCAGATGGCATTTTTTTCTCCTTTTTCTGGTCTGTATTGGTTTCACAAGTCACTATTCAGTAGCAAACTCTCAGAAACAGGTTTGTGAGCCAGCTTTTTGCCCAGTAAATAAAAGAAAGCAGCTGACATGCTTATGGAAGCTCGCTGTGTCAGGAGGAGAAGATGGTCTTTGGTGGAACATTTGGTGGATGATGGCCAAAACTCACTGAAGCCAATCTGTTCACCAGCTCCACCTGTTTTTCTTATTTGATTTTTTAACAATCTGAATTAACCCAATACATTTATTTGCCTGCACCTTAATTTCATATGGATATTTGATGTTATACAATGTTAGTTTGGCTAATGCTCTTATCTATATGGCAGTATGTACTTAAAACTATTTCTTATGCCAGTCAGTCTTACTTCCGTATCTGAGGTCAGAATATTTAATCCTGCATATAAATATTAATGAGATAATTTTGAGTTCAGTTTCACCTTCATATAATGTTAATGCTCTGGAAATAACAGATTAAGATACACTGATGTTGTCTTTCATTGAAATATAAGTTACTGTTTGCGGTGTGGTGTATTTAAGCATTTCTTGTCACAGAGAAGTGCCTCTGACTGTTTGCCTTTCGATTGCTGAGCACGAGCTTGTGAACGTTCACATCACATTAGCAAGTGTGTGCCATTGCAGGACGTGCGACGAGTGCCAGGCGTGGCTCCGACCATCGTGCGATCAGCAAGCGAGACAAACGAGAAACGTCCTTTCATGTGCGCATACCCCGGCTGTAACAAGCGATACTTCAAGCTGTCCCATTTACAGATGCACAGCAGGAAGCACACTGGTAAGTGATGGCATCGAATGGCACGCATCGTGTTACGGTGGGCAGGGGATTTTGAAACAGCATGAGGTGCAAGAGATGTTCTACCAGCTCAGGGGCAGGGAGACTCTATTGGTTGAGGGGTGTGCGTGCTCTGTCATCTGGGCAGCCCCTCTTTCGGATGCAGGAGACTGTGAGTCTATTGAAGTCAAACACAGAGCAGTGCTGAGAGCAAGTCAATCACCTCCCTCCCTCTCTTACTGTTACAGGGCAGCATTCAGGGCTGTGATTTTTATTTTTATTTTTTAAACTTAGAAGCATCAAAGCTTGCTCCAGTGTTTAACTGTCATTAACTATGAAGAAGTTTCTTCTGCAAGAGCAAGTGAGACATTTACTATATTCTCATCCCCCTGTATAAACCTTGTCTGATTGGGGTCGGATGCAGGGATTGGCAAAGGAACGTGTTTGCTGTGGGATCATCCCATGAAGAACTGAGCTAGAAGCCAGTAATTTGTATGGTAAGATCTGAGTTCTCTCTGAATTCAGGCCATCCAGTTTGCATCTGAAAATGTGGAAATAAAATGCCCTGCTGTACCCTGCAAATGATTAAAAGGGACTATTTCCCCTATGTGAAGATTTATTGTGTTGAAAATATATAATGATAGCTTTAGATATGTTCCTTATGCATATTTTTTGCTGCTCATCACATTTCTATTTAGACAGCTTTCTGTGCTAATTAGAAACCTGTGAATAAAATCTGTAAATATGGATGTTCAGTCAACACTGACAGAAGGTCAAAAGGATGAAACAGACAACAGACAACTGTTAAGACTTAGCAGATTGACAGATATTTCATTAAAAATGGTTGCACACTTTTCCTTTTGGATATCATATGCTGACATTAGTTACTTGCATACAACAACAGGAAAGAAATGAACGTTACAAAGCATTTTTTATTTCTGAATATGCAAGTCATAAAATACACTGACAGAGTTCTTCAGTTTTGCTAAAATTACAGATATAATTTAGATTGCAACTGGAATTTAGTCTTTAGAGCCAAAGGTCTACTGAAGTGCTATTACATTTTCTGTAAATAAATTTGAAACAGAAAATAATTTGGAGATCTTTTGGGGTGCATTAATGGCAGTATTTTTTTTAGTATTCCTAAACAGTTCTGAATCTTTCTCATAATCACAGCTTCTTTCATTCCTAGCTTGATTTACTCTTTACCTTAGCAATCACAATTGTTGTTTCTGTATTTTATTCCAGTTAGTTGCTTGGCTTTCACAGTATTATTTCTAAATGCCCCCACAGGAACTTCTGCTTACATGGTTTAATATTATTATTATTATTATTATTATTAAACTAAAGAGGATATCAAGCATTATATAATCTAGCCGTATAGAGTCACAAAAGCCCTAGACAAGATAGAGAATAGGACTGTAACAGTCTAGCATCCCTAGAGAGACTTCTTCCCTTCTATTTGAGGTCATAAACAGCCCTTCCTTCTCCTTTGGTTTATGCTATAGTGGAACAGAAGAGAGAAAAACGTTTTTTTTTCCCCTCAGACATCTCTTTACAGATGTACCCAGATCCTTCTGCCATTATATTGTGTTATGTTGACAATAAAACTTGTTTTTTCTCCATCGAACCTTTGCAAGTTGCTTTCTATAAGTGGTGAGTTTGACACCCACAGTTTGGCTTTGCTGATAAAAATGTCACGATAGATAAGACTGTGTGAACTTCCAAGGTTGCTTGAAGCTAAAGAGAGGAAGCAAGGGGAAATTGCACTACTGGTGTGAGCGTTGCTTATGTAATTGGTTAAATTGTATGGCTGAGGCATTCAGGTTTAGGACCAGAAAGGAGTTTGCCCCTTTGTCAAACTGGCAGGGACAGTTAGGTTTCCATCCTCCAGCTTGTTGCACGAGTACTAACCATTTCCTATAACTATTATCTAGAAATTTCACTTAGTAAATTCCGAGCTGCTTGTAGGTATGTGAGACATGATGCCCTTCATTTCTTATATCTTCTTGTAGCCTTTTATTCCTAGCTTTTATGAATGCTTTGTGAACTGTACTTGTGGGAGCATGTGGAGTGGATAGACCCAACACTTCTGAGTTAACACATCTTGGCTACGTGGCACAGTGGAAGGTGTGGATTTGGTGTCCGTGTGGTCCTTGCCAGTGCCATGCTCTTCTGTAATCCTGGGCAGCTGAACTGACGGTTTGAGGTGCAGAGCCATTTCCAGCCTCCTAAGTAACTTCATGTCTTTCTTTACCTGACCCTGATCTGTGGCTCCTTCTTGTGGAAAACCATCCTCGAAAGAACATGTGTCAGTGGCACGAGGCTGCACCAGGAGAGATTCAAACGGGACATTAGGAAATGTTTCCTTATCGTGAGGGTGGTCAGACACTGGAACAGGCTTCCTAGCAAGGTGCTTGGTGCCCCGTGCCTGTCAGTGTTCAAGGGGCATTTGGATGACATGCTGTAACCTTTGGTTAGTAGTGAAAAGGGTCAGGCAGCTGGACTTGGTGATACTAGAAGTGCCCTTCCTACAGAGCTGTTGTCTCCAAGAGCAGATCAGTCACTGCTATGAGGAATGTGTGTGTTTTGTTGGTAACAGTTACGATTGCTACAGTTCACACTTACCATCTTTCTATTCTCCACATCTTTGGTTTATGTGAGGGGATGTCTTAAGTGACCAGTTTGATTAAGATGAGGCTGCTGGTATATGTTGATAATTACGTAGCTGTCTCTTAGGCACTCATGTCACTTTCCTGCCTGTAACACAATGAACTCCATTCCATCCCACTGCTCTAGAGTTCACTGCAAACTATAGAAATTGGGTTTGCTGGAATCAGCATACTCACTTAGCTAGAAAGAGGCTGGTGAAAGTAATGCCTAGTACATACTACATCTTCTTCCACTCTGGTGTTCTAATGGGGAATCCTGACAAGCCATTTTGAGGTTAGAGAACTGTCAGATAGTAGCTCAAGTGGAGGATTGTTTGGTTGGGATCCCTCTTTACAGCCAACATATTTTACTCATTTACTCACAGGATTTTACTCATCCTTCTGTAAGGTGGTCCTGTATTCACTCACGGGTTTGAAGCCCTTCCCACCTTTCTTAGTATAGTGGTAGGTCAATTTTTTAATTACGGACACACAATTTGAAAACAAGCTGTTCCACATACCTGATATTAGAAAAACAGATTATATCATTATGAAATAATGTTCACTTTTGCTTATCTTTTTGTTTTCTGTCATAAATATTTGCAGAGAACTTGGCTCATCAGATCTCCCATTCACTGGTTGCAGTATTGCAAAATCAAACAGGGCCCTGCCACACAGAATTGGTTTCTGTAAACTGTTTTTACCACTAAACAGGATTTTCTGTAGAGAAAGTACTCTGCCTTATTGCTGGGGATATTCTTCAGCCTACATGTGCTCAAGTGCAGGTATCAGTTTGTACAATGAAGTATGACAGTGTGTAATTAAGAAAGTAAATACTTTATGTGGCAGGGGATCGCTATTGGAAGTGAATTTCTGAGGCTCTGGGCAGCACAAATAATGCAGATAAGTAACCAATTTCTTGCTAATCATCTCAGAACAATTTCTTTGCTTTGACTAACATAATATCTTTTCTTTATGGCGTGTGTGACCATGCTGCTAAATGCCTTACAGTCATTAACGCAGTTCATCATTACAGTACCTTTGAAAGACAGAGCTCTATCTTCTGTGTAAGCAGAAGATAAGTGGGTGCTGTTGTGCTTGAGTTGGGAACTGCACAGACCCCTGAAGTATCCAGTGCAGTAACTTATAGGATAGCACTTTTTGTCAATGTTGCTTTGAAATAATGAAATAATCCCGTTTCTGTGGAATGAAATAAGATTATTTATGTGTTTAAAATTTGAGATCTGTTTTTGCAAAAGTAATGACATTGTCTCACACCTGAGCTCTGGTGTGAAAATGACAGAAAACATTACCTATAAATAACCTGTACTGAACAGAAAAACAAAAGTTTTCTGAGTTTGCTAAAGCAAACTGTGTTGAACAAAAACACAGTGTGCTAAAGCTGTGATGATGGGCATTGTGCTTGTTTGATTAGTTGGGTGTAGAAGAAAAGCAGCTGAAGTTGGTGAAGTGAGTATAGACAAGCTTTCAGATACTCATTGAGACTTGCTGTCTTGTTTCAAAATTGGCCTCCTCTCCCCATGTTCTCTGGTTAGCAACAAGCTTCTGCTCTTGCTGTGTGCCTTAATGAAATGAAATGATTATGAATATTTGTGCAACTGCTGCAGCAGTGGGAATTTCTGCTTTCCTGTGTATCCGTGCAAATTAATTTGCAGCAGGGATGTGCATGCTTCCTCTAGGTTGAGTTAACCTGCTTTGAGCAGAAAGGTTTGTTTTATTAAGTGTATTTATTGCAATGAATGCAAAGGCTGATTCAGACTTGTTCTGTGATTTTTGAGCTTATTTTTCTCTCAATATTTTTCTGAATAGCATTCCAGTGCTGCTGTTCCATCCGTCCTCTCATTAGACACAAAGCTTAGCCTTTTTTGTTGCTCTCTTTCAGTAATAAAATGTAAGTAATCGTGGAATCCTTTGAGTCACAGGTGAAAGGACTGGTGAAGCTCCATCTTCTCCTGTTTTGTTTTGAAATTGTATATGGTCACATAGGAAGGTGACAGTATTACAGGATATTTTTTGTACATCGAGAGGCTCGAGGCTTTTACTGGAGGGGCTGTGATAGGTGGAGGGAAACAAGACACTGGTCTAACCCCTTTCTGCATAGTGACCTCATGGGGCACCAGCAGGTTTCTAACATGGGACGACTCGGTGATCCTGTTTTTGTGAAACTGACAGAAATTAACTGCTATGTGGCAGCTGGCTTCAGCAGGCTGCTTTCTTGACACTGGTTGGCATGGAATATGTAGAAGGAAAGAGAAGTTAGGCTTTCTGGCCAAATATTGTGTTGCCTCTTGTTTATTTACTGTTTGTTTTCTGTAGCATCAGTCATATCTCTGTGTAAGCATATTGGATTGATTCCTTTAAAAAGTACATTGCTTAAATTTGTCCTTAATTTAATCATTTATATTTCAAAGTACTTGAAGAAATTCTTTAATGCAAATGCTAGCAGACCTGCTATACTATTTTATTCAAAGACCTCCTTAACTATCTTCTGCATTTACACTGCAATTAGCAGACAATCATCCTATCACTGCATTCTGCACTGCTGACATTTCCCCTCTTAAATCTGCCAAAGGGCAGAATTCCTTGGAAGTAAGTGGTTTCTGAAAAGCAGGCACCCCCCTGGGAGCCCTTGTGGTCAAAGTGTGCGGAACTATTTCAAACACCTGTGGCAACTTTAATCCTTGATGCTAATAAATTAAGCGCAGCAGACGTGGAAGTTGTCCGCACCTAGGTTTGAGAATCTGTAAACTCCTTTGGGTGACTGCCACAGGAAGTCAACTTGTTCTTGCAGATTTAGCTGCTTTTGTGAAATCTTGATTCTAACCACATCGGTATGAATTTGGAATGCTCTTCTTAGTTTGCTGCTTATGTTCTTACCTAGATCAGAAGGCTTCTGCTTTAAACTAAGATAGTAACCAAAACCACAGCTCCAGTGTCTTCAGCTGATTTTTGTTCTCTAGATCCTTCCTGCTGTGTCTTTGTTTTGTATCTCAACTTTCCACAGTAGACAGAGCAGATCCCAGCTGTTCTGAAGTGCATCTTCCAGATAAAACGTAGGATTGGCCGGCTTTGCAGTGAGAGGTGTTTCTTCAGCCTTTGTGCTCAGTGAGGCTTCTCTGCAGGGCTGTGGCACTGGAGACAGATTTGATGTAGGTAGAAGTGCAGTTATATCTTAGTCTCTTGCAGGATTGCAGTGTTGTGCAGTGGGGCCTTAGACTAGATGATAATGAGATCTGAAATGTCACGCAGCTCCTCCTGTAACAGCACACAGATTAGGGGTATTTTTATGCTGAGTGAATTCTCACAACTCTGTGGTATGCTACATTCCAGCAACCTTTCCCACTTTCCTCAGGCTCCTCAATTGCTCATTTCTTCTTGCATCTTTTTGTGTTTGGTGAGTCTTTTTGCTTTAAAAAAAAACTTTTGCCTTTAAAAGCTGAGTTCATTTATGACACTACCCTGCCTTGGGATTTCAATATATTCATTAATTTATTTACTTTAAGTCAGAAGCTTACTTTTGGTGCCAGGGAGAATGCATGCTGAAGGTCTCTGCTGAACTGTACAGGCTGGAGGAAGAGTTTGTGTTGACATGAAGCTTTGCAATAATTCACAGCCTTGCCTGCAGAAGGTGTGCAGCAAAATTCTATTTAGAATTGCCTTGTGGAGGAAACATCATTTGAGTTTTGGGGAAGAATGTATTGTTTTGTAGTTGAGTTTTGCTCACTTTCTTTAATTCATTTAGTATGGTGAAAATTACTACATAATTTACTTAGTTTTTGCTTGAAAATTGATTTAGAGCAAGCAGCCAGTTGTTCCCTTGTACAAATTACTTTTAGCTGGGACCATTGGCAAGGGTTTCTTGTGGATTCCAAAGAAATATAGAAAAAAAAAAAACCTGTTCTTTTTCAGCAGAAAACAAAAAATATCTTACAACCTAAAAGTTCTCATAGCTTTCATCTGGTGGACCGTTTTTTAGAGTGAACAGATTCAAGAATGGTGACAATGTGGTAAATTATGCCAGCCTTTCTCCACTGGGTCCAGCATAGTTGTATGGATCTATAGCAATTGAGGCTGTCCTTCCTTTAAATTGCTTTAGGAAGTGGGGGAGCCTACATTTCTTATGGTAGTGCATTTAATCTGCTGATTCTACCTGACACGCTTCCCAGTTTGGCCACATTTTCAGCTAAACTGTTTGTACTTTGCAGGTGAAAAACCATATCAGTGTGATTTTAAGGACTGCGAACGAAGATTTTCTCGTTCAGACCAACTCAAACGGCACCAAAGACGACACACAGGTATGCTGGCAGTGCATCTGCACTGCTTAAAAGAGTCCATATCTCTATTTAAATTGGAATCCAGAAAGTGTGCTTCTAGACTTCTGATGTATCTGCTAATGCACAATGCCAGTAGTGACAAATTATTAAAGTTCACTTTAGGAGGGGGTTGTGACTGTGTTGCGTTTTTTTGTTGTTGGCATTTAAGCACTACTTTGATTGTATATGTGCCCTTTTTATCCTATCACCATCTTTTTGAAATAGATTTCTAAATGAAACTGCTTGCTATACAGTATTCTGATGTAATACATCTACTGTTTTTTAAAGCCAGAGAGCTCTGCAAGGAAGAGTTGCCAGTGAGTAACCAGATAAGTGCTGCTGTAGATGTTTTGATGTTTGTGTGGCAATGACACTATGTGCAGCATGAAAGGCTGGTGAACTTACTGGGCACTTCCATGTGGAAAGCAGAAGGGAGAAGGAAAAACCATAGCAAATAAAGTACCTAATTCAGCAAGACACCTAATCTTAGATTTCAGCCTTTCCAGAAGGGTTCTAGGAGTAGCAAGGAGAAAAACGTCGAAGATCTGGCTGGTTGGATTATACTGGAGTGCAATTGACTAAGAATAGCAGGAAAGTGTATAGCAGATGTTAACATCCAGTGGAGAAGGCAGTAACAGTTATGATCAGGACTGAGCCCTGCCTACATTCTGCAGTCCTTCTTGGTGAATCACTTACTAGGTTATCATTTACTGATATTCTGAGACAGCCAAACTATTTGTGAGTTCATTCCAAATTCATCAACATTTTTTTATGCTTGATATTTGTTTGAAATATCAAGACAGCCCATTTCAGCACTTCTGGAGTTCTTGGAGGTCTAGATGAACAGGCTAGACAACTGCTCTTCTTAAAATCACAGAAAAGGAGATGGTGATGACCATGGCCCCCTGCCTGGGAGCTGAAACACGAGTGCACCCTGCGTGGGACACGACAAGTTTCAGAGCAGGACCACAAAAATCCAGACTTCTGAAAATTCAGAAATAGCTGATGTCATTCAGCCTTCCAAAAGGTGTTGGGTTCTAAAAATAGATTTTTTTCCTCTCTCCAGGTGTGAAACCCTTCCAGTGTAAAACCTGTCAGAGAAAGTTCTCCAGATCTGATCACCTGAAGACTCATACCAGGACTCATACAGGTAAAACAAGTGCGTAAACTTTTCTTCACATTTATATTTCATTATTCTTTATAAGTTTAAAATAATATTGTTGTAGATTACATGATTAGAAAGTTTCTTAACAAGTATTAAATATTCTAAACATCAGAAATAATTTCAGAGTGCGCTGGCTTGCCAGTGTGACTATATTCCCTAAATATCACGGTCACTTTTTGCAATGGGATTTAAGTGACTTTTGAAACTATGCTTTCTTTTTTTTTTCATGAAATTTCAGCTTGGTAAAATATATTCTGTTAGCTATAGTGAAATGAACATCATGGCCTCAGCCCACAAATGTCAACTCCATCTATTGTGTTCCCTGAAAAAAACTACAAGAAAGAAATTTTAATTCCAGCTCCAGCTGAAGGTCTGTAATCTAAAGCATTCATGCCTACCTGTGCTTCTCCTAAGTGTCACTTGAGCCTAATGCAGTGTAGCACGGCAAAGATCTTGCTGCTGCTGCTTTGTAATCTCTCCAGAAGATGAAAGGAGTGCCTCTTGCAAATTCATATGGACAGACACTGAAGTAAAAGCTTACTCAGATATTGAAGGACCTTTGTGCAGAAACTATATTTCATAGCAGTACATGGAAAAAAAAAAACACAGGCATTTTAGTCTACTTTGCCCTCAAGTAAATATAAACACCATTAAGAAGCAACTGCAATGTCATCTGTATTGTAAGCTTTAGAATTATTCTTGTGAACTGACACTTTCTGTTCCCTTCCATTACATAGGCAGTATTTTTATGAAGTAGTTGTTTACCAAGCATTTTGTCATGTCATTAGACATCACAGTATTTGCCATACTGAGTTCAACCTTTTAGATTCAGTTTCTCTACTGAATGACAAGGAGCTTGAAAATCCTTTTTCCTCTGCTAAGGATTCTTTCTTCTCTTCATGATCATAAAAACACATATTAAAGACTTTCAAAAATAAATAAGAAATTTTCATAAAGGAAGCAATTCATCTAAGAATAATGGCATTTTCTGTGGCACCAACTAGATAAGTGCATCAAGCAGTGGCAATATCAGCATTTGCAACTTGCAGAAGCTTTGTAGCTCATGATGAACTGTAGGACCTGGGTTTGGTGCATGTGCACGAAGAAAGATACTTTCTTAATCATCAAGAGGTAACGTTCTCATGGAGACAAGATGGCAAGTGGTTGCCACATGTTAGCAAGTTAGGAGAAACTACATTCCCCTTCACATTTTACCACTAGCCGATCTGCTAATTCAGGGAAAGACTCCATACTTTCCTGACTTCAGTAATTTTTTTAGCCTAAGCCAGCTAAATCAGTGAAGAATCACTTTCTCTAGTGAAACTGATCTCCCCGTTTTAGTTCTTCCTTGCTCCACGCAATCCAAGCCCGCGCTTCCCTTGTTGCTAAAAGCAGCCCTTGGGTGCTGGTGGCCTCATAGCCCCTCTCGCTGAGGTTCTGCGTGAGCTCTGCAGCCCAGTTGCTCCTGCTGTGATGACGCTCCCATCGGCAGCTGGATGTTGTGCTCTTCTGACTGTAAAACGCACATAACCTGAGAGGAACAAGCATGAGTGATGGCTGGCAATTCTTCATGTCCATCTTGCCCTGTAGCTTCATTCCTTTCTTTTCATGTTCTCTAACTCTTACAACAAAATAATTAACTTGTTAACTTGTTCCATGTTAAATTTTGATGAAGCGTAGTGCAAGTGACTTTTATCTGTTGTGGGATTAAATGTAAGTCAGTTCTTAAACTATTTGCTCTCTTGTCTCCGCAAGCAAGTTTACTGTAAAAGCAATCTTAGCTGTAAAAAAGCAACAGAAGAATCCAAAACAAAAGCTCCACACATCCATATACATTTTTAGCAATCAAAAAGTGACTTCTGGAACCTGTACAGGGAAGCTGTAAGGTAGTTTGTGCCCAGCCCAGAACTAATAGGTGTTGTCCCTGTCATGAGTGGACAGTCACACTGCTTGTGAAACAGCAAAACTGCATGCTGCTTTTGTGGTGGTGCTTTGGTGAAAATCTCCACAGCTCACATCAGGTCGCAGGATGATATTGCAAATGCAGCTGAGGTGAAAGAAGACCACCTGATACAATCTGTGATTTTTATCAGTAGCTCTGGCAGCTTTGTTCTATACTGTTTTATGCACTCGTGAGATGGTTGATGCTTTTGCCAGCATATATGTGACGTGGATAAAATAGATTTTACGTAGATTCCCCTGCTTTATGTGATCTGTCTATCTCATGGGATTTTGCAAACAGAAATACACAACTTTGGTGCCACTCCCAGATTCCCAGATTTTTGCCTGAATTTGGATGTATGTGAAATGTACAAAGTGTGAGGCAAAGAAGAGAAGAAGATGGTTGGATGAGCTTGAACTACCTAGCCCAGGTGTCCTGAGATGGAGAGTACGAGGTGTGTAAGATGGCATGGAAGAGTCCTGTCCCAGAGCTGAACCTGCTATAAAATGCTGCATCTATCTTGAGCTGGGGGGAAGAAAAGGCAAGCCTAAAAGAAACAGGAGTCACCGGGCACTGCTCTGAGCTAATGAAAGCATTCCAGCAGCATTCCTGCAGCATCAGACACAAGGCCTGAAATTCCACATAATGTTGTAGAAAATCGAGACAGCAGATTAAACTGTAAAAAGGTGATGGCATTTCTTGTCAAAGTTGCAACCACTTTGCTTGGGGTCATTTTTAGTGGCTATTATTTATACTCGTGGGAATGTTATTAAAAATACTAGGTATTGTGGTCCTTTAAAATCTCCTGCAGGAAGGAATCTAGACAGTAGTGGGAAACTTTCAGTCTGGTTCAGCAACTTCATATTGACTGACCACTCACCCTCACCACCCTCACCATCACAGAATAACTTTGGGCAAAACTTACTGAGCTCGCAGGAAAAATTCTCCTTGACTAGAGGTCAAGCTCTAAATAATCACTGACAGTTCTCCTAATGACTGATAGTCAAAGGTGTGACCGAAACTTCTGTAGGTGCCAGAGTTACTTTTAAACCAGTTCATCCAAGAATTGAGAGTAACGTATACGTGACACTAGGATGTTCAGTAAGGGCCTGTCTTCAGGAATGATCCATTGCAGAATGCAGTGCCTCGCCTGCAAAGGCTGTGGCTAAACAGCAGCAGAGCGATCTGTAAGAAAGCACTGGGTGCTGAGGTGAGCAGTTATTGAGGGCACGGCCACAACCTCTGAGGATGGCCCAGCACACCTTTCCTGGTGGAGATCTGCCTAGCTTCTCACAACGCTACAGAAAGAGAAGGAACAGTGATGTCCCAGGCGAGCTCTTCTACCCAGTTAATAACAGGGTGTTTTGTTAACAGGTGAAAAGCCTTTCAGTTGCCGATGGCCCAGCTGTCAAAAAAAATTTGCCAGGTCTGATGAATTAGTCCGTCATCACAACATGCACCAGAGGAACATGACTAAACTGCAGTTGGCCCTTTAGGCATTTCAAACAAGTGAATAAACCAGATGGGACATTATGAGCTACTGCAAACTTTATCAGCCATCTTCGATCACCTCTGTCAGAGAGCTGCAGCTGTCTTCGCATCCCATTTGACACAAGTTAACTAAACAGTAGGATTCTGCTCAGCTTCCATTTCGACATTCAGAATTCCCTGTTCAATAACTTCAAACTTTATTTGCAATTTCATTAAAAAACGAGCAAGGTTACCACAGTTTCAAGATTACTCTAAACTATGCTTACATTCTGTAGGTGTTTCCAGTTTCCTGTTCTTATTTTTGCTTGAGCTGTTCTAGGTGCATTTTACTGTACTCTTTTTAGTCCCGCTGTGGGTAGGGCGAGTAGTGCCTGTTGAAGGTAAGCTTCACGCTTACTGCTTTTGAGCACATGCTGAAGTTTCCAAATGCTAGAACCTCTATCCTCACAAGATGAGGCAGAACAATCAGCTGAGATACTTTTTGTAAACTTTGTAGTTGTGCTGCCAAAGGGCAAACTTTTAAACTTGGAGGCAATGCTTCTGAATTTCACAGATCAACCCTTTTTTAAAAGAACTTATTTCTGGAGCAGCTAGTGCTAGATGAACGAGAACTTCTGTATAGAAAATAAGAATCTTACCATTAAGTTAACTTGTTTTTTTAAATAATCACATAATCGATCCCCCCCAAACTGTTTTACTCATCAAATAGCTCTATTTCTCTCTCTCTCTTTCTGTTTTAATGTATTTGTTTAAATTTATTCCATCGTGAGATGCGCAGATCTCCTTTACACAAAAGTGATTCCAATCATTGTAGACATTTGGGATTTGTTTACAATGTAAAGCCACACTGGTTATGTGGCTAGCAAGCTGTATAAACTTAAAACTGAACTTTTAATGGGGCTGGTCCAGGATCTCCATTAACAGATTACTCTTAAGATAAGTAACTTAAAAAGACTCTTTGTCAAGTATATGTGAAAAAGACATTATTAGTGTAAGGAAATATATTGTTTCAGGGTTTTGGGAGGAGGGGTTTATTATTTACTTTTAATTGCTTGAAATTGTGTGTATATATATATATCTGATAATGTATTGCTCTTAGACATCTAAAATTAGAAACTGTATAAATATTAGATGCATCACTGTTCTGATGTTGTTGCTGTTACAAACTATTGATAACACTAAGAATGTAACCTGCATTTTTCACTGAGCTTTCAATTAAAGCCCATTCAAAGAGAAACAAATGAGAGTCCAACAGATGTCTTGTTTCATGTCTGGTATTAAATTTCAAATGCCCTGTCCAATAGAATCCTTTTTTTTTTTTTTTTTTTTTTTTTTTTTGTATATAAAGGTACCACCAGCACTGATGACCACTAGTTAACCTGTCCAGGTCTTGACCACAATTTATCCATCTCACTTGGGAATCATACTGGCAGCAGAAAACAGTGTCAAGTTTCATATTGCGCTATAAAACAGTTGCTTCAATCGTTCGTCTTCTTACAAAACTACTCCTTTTCTTGAAACCTGTAAGATTTGTATAGGAACTTCACAGAGCAGTAAAATCCACTTTATAAATAGCAGTATTGGCCTTCTGTAGAACTGTGCTGAAACCACGAGCACAGATAACTTCTAAGATTAGGATGCCGTGCAGTGACTTTTACTTGAAAGTTAACTTAGAGTTAGGGTGGCTTAAATCAGTTCAGCAGGTTGAAAAAGACAGTCCTTCTTACATGATGAAGTGTGAAAATGGAGATAAAAAAAAATTATTGTTTCTTTGTCATACTGCCTGCTTTTCTTTGGAAGTAAGTACAGCCTGCCTGAGAGCCCTTTGACCTTGCAAAATATTTGTATCTCTTCAGCAAAAATCTTTAATGTATCTTGCCAAGCTTTTTTCTCTAATGTACACAATGGAGTTCTATGATGGGTTGAGCTTTCTCTCTTAAAGTGCAGCTGCATCGTCAAGAAAACTCAACAGTTAATTCTTCAAGTCCTCTTTTTCGCTGGGGTATTGCATCACTGTTAATTACTGTTGGGGTACTGTGACTCATTTGTATCAGTCAACTTTATCTTTTGCTGCCAAAAGACAGCATCTCTCTGGAGAAACTCATAACAAGTGTGGCAAACATCAAATAGTTGGAGTAAATGGTGTATATAAAACTGCACAGAATTAAAAAATAAAGCAACTCCTCCTTCTTTCTCGAGAGAAAAGTTCAGTCGTAATAACAATGTCCTCTGATTTACCCAGCAGTGTTCTGCAACTACAAAACAATGTTCTTCAGCCTGCACCCAAAATAGAGAGCTGCCAGAAGTGTTTATACTGAAAGCCAAAGAAAGAAAAATCAGCCTCCAGTTGTGCCTGCATTAGTCAAACATAAATAAAACTATCTTTTGTGAAATATAACCGAAACTCCGCTGCAGCACAGACCAGGCTTCCAGTGACCTGTAAATAACTGCATCCATACCTTTTCTGCTTGGTCAATTGCACGCCAAATAATAATAATGGTAGACAGCAACCAAAAATGAAGCGTGGGGTGATGAGTGACAGAGTATGTCCCTTCGTTTTTGCTGCTGCCCCTTTTTCAATGAAAGCACTTGCTGCAGCTCTGCTGTCTGATGCTCATTACGCCCTCCGACACTCCGACCACGGTGAAGATAGCGGTGACGTTTGGAAGATCTTTGTTATTTTTATTCCTAGTCATCTCAGAGTCTTTGTCGTGAGGCCTCTTATGTCTCTCCCTCTCTTTTTCCTGTTTCCAAGATTCTATCAGCAAGGTAAGCCACCTTTATTGAAGCACTTTACTACATGAATTTCTCAGAAGCAGCCCCCAGATGCTGTTTCTTGCAGCATGCAATTCCTCATTTTGTGGCAAGCAGAAATTGCTCAGCAGCCTGAGTTTCTGTGGGCTTGATCTCCATGTGAAAGATGAGGGGACTGCACGCTATTCTATCTTACAAGTATCTTTAGCTCTCTGGAAAATTTTCAATCTCACAGTCAACAGCCTCTGATCTGTGTTCATGAACTGGAACTAGTCAGCAGTGTTATTTTGGCTGATGGTTAAATGTCTACTGTGACTGACATACTTTTTCTGTTCTGTAGCTTTCATCGCCCCCCAGAATACAGAATGTTAGTGACACAGTGTTGTGCTTTTTCTTGTCACTTTATGAGGTACAACACATGTTGGATAGGAAAGGGAACATAATGTCAGTTCTCTGATGTTGTGAGCCAAGATTAAGGATTCCCTTGCACCGATTGTTTAAGGTAGTTGCATCCAACTAAGTCCAACTCTCTGCTTGCTGAAAACTTAAGACCTAACATGCCTAGATTGTAACCACCTGATCATATTCTTGGTGCACGTTGTATTCTTTATGAGTACTGACCAAAAAGTAGGTCCCAAGACATTACTTTGCTACAGTAAAGCAAACAACATAAAGGCCTATTGTTCAGGCATTCCATCGAGGGAAGTGAGGGACTCGCAGAGAAGAGCTCTTTGTTTCTCTTTCCGTGGTGATTTAGGCAAGTTGTTCATTTTAGAAACCAATCCAACTTGGCCTATCTGTTTCAGGATGTTAGTAGGACTATTAAACTGCTCCACCAACCAACCTTACGGCTACTGAGAACGGGTCCTGAAGACACAGGTGGGTGCTTAAAACCAGTGTTTCTTCCTCCCTCTCCTGCAGGCAGGCACTGAGAAAACTGTGTCACATGCAGTGTTTTCCAATCATCAGTGTGACCTGACAGTAAAACCAGTCCAAGGCTTTGGGGTGGACTGAGGGCCTCCAAGAAGATACCTGCAGCTCTGCATCTCGGAGCTGCCTTCACCTAGTGAGGTGGGTACACAGAGGCAGCCAGCTGGCAGAGATGGGTTGCCAGAAGATGGTCAGAGCTGTGCTGCCCAGTCCTGCTCGAGCCCTGCTTGTACCTCCCTGTGGGGCAAGCATGGGCAGGGAGAATCACTCAGTGTTTGAGCTGGGGGAACTCTTCCACGCTTTAGGAAACTGCTCCCCCCGTGAGTTAACAAAGATGTCGTTAAAGGCAATGTATGCAGTTCAGAATGGCACTAATGGACAAGAAGATCCAGCTGCAATATTTGGGAAGATCCAATAAAAGATTCATTAGGATCCTTTTAGTTACTGGAAGTCCAGATGACACAAAGGAATCTACTGAAAATGAAGATGTGGTCACAAAAGTGGTGAGTTAAAAAAAAAACAACAAAACAAACCCCAAACCCAACCCCACTGACACCATTCTAAAAATTAGACAATTAAGAGTAAAACCAGGAATGTAGCCAGAACTATTCCACCTCAAATAATAAACACAAGGATAAGTTGCCAAGTGAGGTCAAAGAAGCAAATGGTAAAGTGAGTTTAAGAGACAGCTAGACACTTTTATGGGGAGAGAGAGGATTGAAGGATACAGTGACAAAACCGGGGGTAGAGCTGAGATAACTCAGAGGACAGGCACGGTGGGCCAGTAGCTTGGAGAGGGCTCCAAAGCCCAGCTCCAGTGAGGAGTGGGGTGGCTATGGGTGTTGTGGGGAGATATATGCACCAGGGCTGTCTGCAGTGCCCTATGAGGGATGGTGGGAAGCGGTCTGGGAGGGAGTTGAGCCTGGCAGGTAGCAACGGGTGCACTCTCAGGTGCAACGGCTGTGACTGCTGCCTCTGGGTTCCCTACTGAGATGCCCTGGCAGACTTGCTAAAAGTGCTTATTTTTGAGGAGGTCCTACCTGAGCAGCTTGTTTTGTAGTAAGTTATCAGTGCAGAGCTCATACAGAGACACCAAAAGGAAGAAAAAAAGCACAACTTTTCTTTTTAGTTTTCATGAGAGACTACTTGTAATATAGGAAACAACAGGGTTGGCTAGGATATGATTCAAATGAGTCAAAGACAAAATATACAGAGATTATGTTCTTCTCTGCTT